ACTCAGTGCGGGCTGACCGACGCCGTTTGGAGGGGAGATGAGGCGGTTTTGACGAAACCGATCATCACGGCCTGAGTCAGTACGAATTCGAGGTAGACGCAGATTGTTTGAAATGTTGCGGGAGTGGGGTGATCTCCGACGCTTCGAACGGCCAGACCATATCGCCTTACCATCCAGTCAGATAAACTCCGGACCGCTTGAGTCGTAATCGCGGAAAGACGAGTTCGGTCGGATGGATGATGCAGTATGGCTCGGTGACCGGGAACGATCGTAATGATGCCCCATCCGTTTGAGCTCAAACAAAGACTTCCGTCCAGCAACGCGTGACTGAGGTAGTTTCTCAAAAGAACTAGACCCAGACTGCTTCGTTGAAGTGGAATGTGGTGGAGACATAAACCGGTAGTCCTCATGATATCGCCTAGACGCCCGGGGTGATAAAGCAATCTGACGAAGAGGAAGATCCGGAGCGGCGTCACGTCCGAAGCTGAGAGATGGGTGGAACGGTAAGAATGAAGAGTAAGAGTACCTCATGTGCAAATGATGCAGCTGGTAAAACGCACAAAACAACAAAGAATATCTGTTGCCATTGATCAATATCACAGCGAATGAGCATCTAGACTCGGATGTGAAGCAGAAGAGCACGACGCACGGACGAAATTGATGCGGATACCAGATGAAAACTTGCCAATGTTCTGCCAAAAGTTATCAGATGTGGACATCGTGTTGGATTCTGTGAAAGCAAAAGCGGAGGGCTAAATAAAAAGGCAAGCAAGTCATTTTCTACCGCCAAAAGTGCGGCAAGATATGCACAGATGTTCGCAACCGTCAAGATATCTGCGGACAGAAATCCGATGAAGCACAGTCCAAGCGAGCTGGGCATAATGGCAAGTGACAGAAAAAAATACTACGGCCAACCAATGACAGTCCTTTTTTGATGTTGCTAATAATAGATATTCTGGCTTAGAATCAGTTGACGAGACCGGCTCGGCAGCCTCCGTTGGCATGGAAAACCATCAAATAAATCTTTTGTTGGAATGTGCAATCAGAGCGTGTCTGTGACGTTGAATTTTCGGGATAAGATGGATACCTTTATCAAGATCCAGATGTTCAAATCGGGTAGCTAATTACACGATATTCTGTGAGGTCACTGGTGTCTTACGACGGATTGGAAAAAGCGTGCAACGCTTATATCATCACAGGAAGACCAATTTCCTCGATCCGGTTCCGCTGAAACCAAGTCCACCTCAGCTGCAATAGGTGAAAGGCTAAAACGGAAATGGTGAGGCCTACCATGGGTGACGCAACCCAAGTAGCCCGACACAAACAACAACCGACCAGCTGTAGTATCGACCTCCACTATAACTAAGCAATATTTTCGATGCGGTTATTCGATGTCTATACCGTTCGTTTATGGTCCCTAGAATAAGGGGTAAAAAAGCAAATGCATACAAAGTCCCGTGAGATGGCAAGAATGAGAACCAGTAAATGATGAACAGTAACCATGGGGATATAATGAAAAGCCTCTTAGTAGAGTTAACATAGTGTTTGTCAATGAGGAATGCGTAAAAGCGCCGGCGTCGGTTGTTTAGGGCAATATTGGTTTATGCACCGTTGGCCACGTTATACCGTCTGTCGGTGTACACTGGCTATATCTGGTAATGTAGGTCGTTTAGGAGAAGGTCAAGACGTGTTTAATCGATAGATAAAGTGGGGCCAAAAACAAGCTAAAATAAGAAAGTCTTCTAAGACTGCCACACACGGAAGGAGCAAACATTTCGATAGCATCTTAGCCGACTACATCGCCTTGCCAACTTGACGTGGTAGACTATCAGGTTTGTATGGTTGCAAAATTGCAGTACGTAGTGGCAGACATGGTGCGGGTTGCTCAGAATCTGGTAGGGCGTTATTAGGTCGCCACGTGGACGCGATACTTACAGCTGTATAATCTTAGAGTTCTTAGCATAATTTGGCATAGACAGTGAAACAAATATTTGGCGTGCTTGTTGCCTCCTCGTTGTGTAGTCTTGAACGCTGTACGGTCTTGCTTAAGCCGCGATTGCTTGGGATAGATTGGGTAATCCTCATGAGACCGCAAATATGCGTTCAGCAATTGCGAACAGACAGACGGATGAAACTGCCCGAATGTACTCCGCAGCATGCCAACTTATTGCTACCCAGTCTTTGACCTTCTCTTAAACTGAGCAATCCAGCTCGGTCTGAATTGATACCCCAAGATCGCGCTCCTGACTGACTGCTTGAAGGACATGTTCTCCAAGAATGTATTTGATGTTCGGCAAATGTCAAATGTGGATCAAATGCGAATCTTTGGGGTTGATTTTCCTGATTCTATTATTCTATTTTCACTCTGTTTCGAGGGAGCTATTGCCTGAAATCAGACCTTTAGCGCTCATGGGCTTTGGCGGAATTGTCTCCGTGCACTCGGTTGCGGTTTTTGCATGGGATCCGGGTCACCTAGCCGGCAGTCAGAAATCATCAGCTGTTTACAGCCCGTGAAAGTCCGCAGGATTTTCGTGACTGAATGGAATACTCAATTTCATCGCCAATTAAGGGCTTTGAAAGATACTGTTAGTTCCAGTTACCTCTTCATCTGGAGGTTGAGGTGATGACTAGATGCAGTCGATATTTGGATGAGGGTGTGATGGTATTAGAATACAAGCCACAGTTCTCCACATGTTTTGAGAAATGAAACCACCGCGTACTACAGCTATAGCGTCGAATTCAGAGATTAAATTGCAATTTCGTTGTGTCCGTTCGTCCCGGTACCATCAGACGCAGACATGTACAAACTGCATTACTTAACTATATTTTAGGTACTGAACCTGAGATCTTGCTATTGCCAGCTAGCAAACAAAAGCAAAGGTCAGGAGAAAAATGTGTTTACTATTGATGAGAAACAGTGCCAATTTAAAACGATGTCGTTTGGCTTCTCTCGTGCCTCATTCACTTTAAAGGCATTGGACACTGCGCCGACTAGGTGGCTTAAATAATGAGACTATGCATGTGAATGACATCGTGTTAGATAGCCGATTTTAAATTGTTTATTGCCTTCATCTGGAAGCAACATTATACCAAATTCCGCAATCATGATTGTGCATAAATGTAGTTATTCATCACGAGCCACTTGCTAGCTTGTTTGTACACAGTGTATCCGTGTAATTTATGTGCATATGTAACGGCTAAATTCCCCTCCTCTCATGTTCTGTCTTCTTTTGTGATACGTCACAATTCTTACGTGGACTGATCCGATTCATACTGAACGTGCAGTTCCACAAATCTGTTTCACGTGTTCACTAACGAGATTACAACTTTGATCACTTTGAATTTCTTTATATTGGGACAATGATGTTAATCAATTGGCTGGTGATCACCGAGCGAGGAGACCGGGACGCACTTGGTGAGAAACTGGACATTACCTATAAGTGGTCATCGCACAAGCTGCTCGAGTTTAATTCTCCCAATTATTTGACATTGGCCGAACATCAAATACATTCTTGGAGAACATGTCCTTCAAGCAGTCAGTCAGGAGCGCGATCTTGGGGTATCAATTCAGACCGATCTGGATTGCTCAGTTTAAAAGAAGGTCAAAGACTGGGTAGCAATAAGTTGGCATGATGCGGAGTACATTCGGGCAGTTTCATCAGTCTGTCTGTTCGCAATTGCTGAACGCATACATGCGATCTCATGAGGATTACCTAATCTATCCCAAGCAATCGCGGCTTAAGCAAGACCGTACAGCGTTCAAGACTACACAACGAGGAGGCAACAAGCACGCCAAATATTTGTTTCACTGTCTATGCCAAATTATGCTAAGAACTCTAAGATTATACAGCTGTAAGTATCGCGTCCACGTGGCGACCTAATAACGCCCTACCAGATTCTGAGCAACCCGCACCATGTCTGCCACTATCTACTGCAACCATACAAACCTGATAGTCTACCACGTCAAGTTGGCAAGGCGATGTATTCGGCTAAGATGCCATCGAAATGTTTGCTCCTTCCGTGTGTGGCAGCCTTAGAAGACTTTCTTAAATTAGCTTGTTTTTGGCCCCACTTTATCTATCGATGAAACACGTCTTGACCTTCTCCTAAACGACCTAAATTACCAGATATAGCCAGTGTACACCGACAGACGGTATAACGTGGCCAACGGCGCATAAACCAGTATTGCCCTAAACAACCGACGCCGGCGCTTTTACGCATTCCTCATTGACAAACACTATGTTAACTCTACTAAGAGGCTTTTCATTATATCCCCATGGTTACTGTTCATCATTTACTGGTTCTCATTCTGGCCATCTCACGGGACTTTGTATGCATTTGCTTTTTTACCCCTTATCCTAGGGACCATAAACGAACGGTATAGACATCGAATAACCGCATCGAAAATATTGCTTCGTTATAGTGGAGGTCGATACTACAGCTGGTCGGTTGTTGTTTGTGTCGGGCTACTTGGGTTGCGTCACCCATGGTAGGCCTCACCATTTCCGTTTTAGCCTTTCACCTATTGCAGCTGAGGTGGACTTGGTTTCAGCGGAACCGGATCGAGGAAATTGGTCTTCCTGTGATGATATAAGCGCTGCACGCTTTTTCCAAGCCATTTTAGTTCTCCGGCTCTCCAGGTACGCGGAAGACAATGAACGGGATCAGTCGTCATGTACCGAGGATGAGTGTGAGGTTGGTGATGATGTGGAGGGCGAAGATGATCATTAGGCTCCGTCGGAACGCTCTTGCCTTGCGATAAACGCCTGCTGCGGCGCTCATCATAACTTGTCAGCTCTAAGACATTGCGAACTGAGCGGAGCGGCATGGTCAATTCTTCGCGTAAGTGTGCAGCGTCTACCTTTGATTCCCTGACTGCAACTGCAATTTCCTCCAAAGGGTACCTGTTTGTTTGCGTTTTGTTGAGGAAACTTCGCGATCACGGCATATAACTTGATTCCAAACTAAGTACTTGTTGATGTTGTTATCGAATTTACGGCCGGTGCGAGGAAGCTTTCTGAGTTACGCCATGCAACATATCCATTTTGCGGACAAATTTTCTCCTTATATGGGGTTAGCACCCTTGCTTAATCGGCGGGTAGCTTAACCCTTGTAAAATATCATCTGGAGCTCTTCACCTCCAGATGAAGATGTAAGTGGACCTAACAGTATCTGTTGGACACCCGTCCTTAGCGGTGGAATTGAGTGCTCCATCCAGGCATAAAACCTAGGCGGAATTCCGCAAGCTGTAAACAGTTAATACTTTCTGATGACAGGATACTAGACCGGGTTCACGTCCAAAAAGATGACCAACGAGTGCACATGGTCTATCACTACAAGGCGGTAAATATCCTTTTTCAGTCAATAGATTCCTCATTACAAGGTGACAACAGTCTATTAGAATTAAGCAAATCCGCCGCCAGGTTTCGCTGTCCTACATCTGTCGACACGATGGACACGTCTTCCGATTCCCACGATGTGTTCTGCCACACTATGTATGCACATTTTAATACCCCCAACAGCCATCACGA